GTTTACTTCACGAAGCTGATGTATTACTTTCCTTAGAACCTCTTTTAAGAACAAATTTAAGAAAAATCTTCAGCAGATATTGGTGAATGAGGCCCACTGTGTGCATGGTCATATTTAATGTACGCTTTATGCAACTTGATGTGTAATTCAGTAGTACCTCACATGTGGACTTCTTATTTAGCCTCTGAAAAAACTCTAATGGAGCTAGTATTTCACCAGCTGCATGTGCAAACTTGAAATGAATACATTAATGCTAATGGACTGATCAGGTGAAACATTTTGCAAGAAGCAGACACATTAATATGCATTAAATACCTGGTAGTCCAGATCTTCAATGCCAAATCGCTCTCGCAGGTTCCTGAAGACTTGAGGACAGTATTCTTTGAATTTAAAATGTCCAGGCAGATTCTCCCTGTAAGGAGAAAGTCTAGTCACTTTATGCATCCCATAATTACTGTCTCTGCAGCCAACAGGCTCCCTCAATCATTTCTAACTAACACACACCACAGGAATTTCTTACTTCTTACATCTGCCTGTTCATTTCCAGGCACTTCTGTTAGTTATGGCTCCAGTCATTATAATAACCAACATGTATGAAAGCCTGTGCCTCAGTAAAAACAAAAAGGCATCTGACAGTGTTTATGATGAACTCATCATGACCAACATTCAAAAAATTTCAGCCCTTTCATAAAACAACTGAAATGTGACCAGGCCTAACCAATAATAAGAAATGATTTACTGATATAGACTGATATACTGCCAAGAGTAAATATGCTGCCACAATCATGGGCTGTGTGGGGAGATTACTTGTTGAAGAGATGGTTGTTGACTTTGATTTTGGTGTTGGCTTTAAAGTCATCCGGGAGAAGCATGACTGGAACTGGAACTTGGTTTAGGTCATTTATCTGAAGAAGAGAAAAACACAAATATGTCATGTAATGCTTTAAATATTCAAATGCACCAGAGCGGTAAAAGCCTTTATGGAAAACAGTACAACGGTGTGAACATCACTAAGCATGTTAACTGAAAGGGTCTAGTTTTGAAATAACTACCCCCAAAATCTTCAGTGCCTTTGGGTGTTGAGTAAAGCTTTCACTTAAACAATCTAAAGCAAGTGGTTCCCTACTCCAGTTCTCTTGTCCATCTGTACTGCCCAGTCCTGTGTTTTCCCTGCAACTGAGTCATATCATTAGCTAACGATCAATCTGATTTAGGTGTATTAGAGCAGTGTTCCTCAACTCTGGTCTTGGAGGCCCACTGCCCTGTACATTTTACAGCTTTTCCTGCTTTAACACAGCCACTAATAATAACGGGCTGTTAATGAGCTGATTTGTTGGATCAGATGTGTTTGGAGCAGGGAAAAAAATAAAAAGTGCAAGACAGTGGGCCTTCAGGACCAGGGCTGAGAAACAGTGCGTTAGAGGAAGAATGTATGAAACAGCAGGGCAGGTGGGCAAGACTGGAGCTAGGATACACACTACTGAAGAGCTAACATCAGTTATTGATCAGCTAGCGACATAAAGTCTGTTCTGCTCAAAATATAAGCTAACATTACGTTAGAAGTTCATAAATCTACCAGGCATCTGAAAAATGAGCAGTTACTGATCCTATTTAACCTGACAGGATCCACCTGAAGTGTGATCCTACTGCATCTCACAGAATGGGTAATTAGCTAACCGACGCTTTATAACGCTAACTACATTTGCAAGATAATAACACGCACTCCGTCTAGAGAGTAAATACTACATAAATGCTGTCAATAATAAGCGGAATGAAATTCAGAATCACTGAATAAATCAAATCCGCCTCCACTTTTAACGTAGCTGAATGTAGCTGAATTTAGCCTTTTAGCTTCAGTGCTTGTGTTTATGTACGAGTTCCAGATTGGCTTCGTGTAACGTTAGGTTAGCTAGCTCGGCGATACCACATGTAAACAACTCCATTTCTGCCTCCTATGTGGAGAAATAAATGGTTCAGGCTAATTCACATCCCTCCTGGACGAGCGCATAACGTCGAAACGAGGTCGTAGCATAAACTGTTAGCCTACAAAAATGGGAGTTGTCTGTGGAAGTTTAACGAAGCTGAGGGAAAAAAAAACCTACCGAATGATTCACACCCCACATAAAGACGCTGAGCACCGGGTCGCTGGCCCGGAAGACTTTCACCTTCTGCTGGACAAAATGCTTCTTTTTGGTCTTGGTTTTGGGGGCCAGTATGACCATAGGGCCGGTGCTGCTGTGAGAGGCCATCATGCGGCTTGCCCGCCTGGCTGGCTGTGAGAAAGCTGTAGCAGCCCGTTTCTCTCTGCTGTCGCTGCTTTTCCTGCTCCTGCTAGCAGAAGGAACCGACTCCTTTTGAACCGATTCATTTAATTAAACCGAATGAGCCGTTTCGCAAGTCCAACTGAATCGACCTTTTTGTTTGCTTTCAATCGAGCATTAACGTATCTGGAGGGGATGAAATTGACCTGGTTAAATCGTTGTAGAAATTACTCCGGTCGGGCCGAAAACCAGTGTATATGAAGATGAGGATAAAATTGACTTGACTTTGAATCAAGGAATCAGTGAACGGACGTTCGATTCACTGACACGAACAGTTAGCCAGAATCGGTTCAGTAGACTGACTCGAATTTTTCCGGCTGGCGCCTCAGCTGTCAGTCAAAGGTCGAGTGGGCGAGCAGCATACCGCAACCGCTCTTCGTCGTTGTCTTTAACTTCTCCTGGCCTGGTTTCTTCACACACTTGTAACTTTTGGAGCACACATAGTACCTGAATAACCTTCTTCCACCTGCTTTATGACAGTGCTTTATGACAGCTAAGTGAGAAATCGCCAAGAAATGTCTCCGGTTGGCTCACCTGGCCCCTCCCTGATTGGACAGATGTGGGGAGCCAATGAAACGGGTCATACTGAAATCATGTGATGTATTGAATGCGGAAACCTGTAGTTCTTTACTGTAGGAAGTTTAGCATGAGCGTGTGCCTGTAGCCCAGGACAGTGGTTTTCATCCTGCGGGCCGCGGCCCCCCAGTGGGCTGTAGTGGTATTGCTAGGGGGCCTTTGGCATTACCACAAAACTAATGTTATTCATACTCCTAGTCCTTCATCAGTTGTCACAGAACACTGCCCACAGGACGCTGATGGCTGGATATTTTTGGTTGGTGGACTATTCTCAGTCCAGCAGTGACACTGAGGTGTTTAAAAACTGTTGGTGTAAAAAGCACTGTTGTGTCTGCAATGCACACCAACACACCACCACCACGTCATTGTGGTGCTCAGGATGATCCACCACTCAAAAAATACCTGCTATGTGGTGGTCCTGTGGTGGTCCTGATCACTGAAGAACAGGGTGAAAGTGGGATAGCAAAGTATGCGGAGCAACAGATGGACTACAATCTGTAATTGCAGAACTACAAAGTGCATCTATATGGTAATAATTCTCTTTTTGTTTGTATGGAATTTATCCATCATGGGTAAATGGCTACAAACAGAAATTTATATATATATATATATATATATATATATATATATATATATATATGTACATATGATATTTGATATCAATTGTTGCATGTAAAACAATCTGGCTGGTTAAATCTTTTTGTTGGCCATGGAAGCTTTTGTGGTCAGTTATGTGGGCTGTGAGTCAATTAGGAACTCCTGGCCTAGGAAATGTAATACACAAATATAAAAAACAAATAATAAGTAATAATAATTAAAACCTCATTTTTTCTGCATAAATAAAGTATTACTATGATATAAGAGCAGTGTTAGCATTAAAAGTAGAACAGGTTCAGCTTGGGTGTCCTTTATAAAAAACTAGGAGTCATGGTTGGTCAGTATCAGTAGTCATCATATCTGAATATACACAGAGCATTGTATTTATACAGTAGATGTAGTTTTCTTGTTTTCGTTTGCAGAAGATAACTGCTCTTTCTTGCTGCTGGATCAGTCGTGACTTTCCGGCTGGATCTCACATGGACCCCTACTTCTTGCATAGTGCACTGCACTGGTCATAAAACTAGAGGTTCTGCACCCAAATAGTGATGATAGCATGGAGAGTTGTATAGCTTATGCCTTAATACAAATGTCTTTATTTTTGTATATATATAATGCACTATTTAGGTGTAGGAGCCGTTATTTCATGACTCTCATAGTGCACTATGTAGGGAGTAGGGAGCTATTCTAGATTTAGCCCCTGTTTGTTTTTTCTTGTGAACTAAATTTGGTATGTTATTGTTTTTCTAGAGCTTGTGTCTGCAGAAAGTGCCACAAAAAATGATTTATCTGTTCACTTTGTACCATTTTATGATGTTCTTGGTACATGGTACATAGGCGCCCATTCAGTTTCTTTAAGTGGAGATCCCAAATAACACACAGTAGACTCTCATTTATAAGGTAATATAGCTTATATGTGTTTTTCGTCCATATTAATTCTTTTATTTTATTTTTTTGTTTATTTTTTTGCACCTCCTTTGCAAGGACCTGCAACCACTGGCACACACACTGATACAAGAGAATGAGTGTGAATTGGGAGTCATCACACAGCTTTTGTGCACTTTCATTTCCTCTATGCATTTGGGTTTGAGAAAATACTGTATATCAGACTTTGGAAGGAAAATCCTGAAATGCTGCATTACAACAGAATTAGAAACGTTTGAAATCAAGCATTGTCATAGTACATTCCAATTCTGACTCAACATAAATAGCAACCATCATAAAATGAAATAATAATGATTTTAACCTGTACAGCAGTACGAGATAACTGGAGGGTATGTTTAAATGAGTGTGCTTCTTTTCATAAATGTGCCATTAAAGCTTGGTATTCACTGTTTTTTCTTTTTCTTTTATGAGTGTCTCGATAATGAAAAAAATGCTGACAATATAAAAATACATGGCATTGTAGTTCATTAAATAAACCTGCAATTTATATATAAAATATAATATTGAAGTATATAAAAATATGCCTAACAACTTCTCAGAAAGAGTAACAGCCATCAGCTCTCAAGAACATGTCACCCCATGTTATCTATCTACCACAAAAAACAAACAAAAAAAATGCATTTATGTACAAACAATCCACTATGTATTAGCGGTTAGCGTGTCACTTTGACACAAAAGAAAGGACTGAATGCTTTCCCAAATCATGTGCACATAGGATAGTGTGTCGATGTCTTGGTTACATGGCAACAGTTCAGAAGTACGTGAGTCTTCGAGGAAACAGAGTAATACTCCAGAATAAATTAGACGGAAAGGTATATTTCGCTTTCATACGTAATAGTTTAAGTCAGTGTATCTTTGGAGAGAGGGAGAGGGGATGGTGGGAGGGAAGGGGGTTAGTTAAATGCAAAATGGCAGCCCCACCTGATTTAACAGTATTACAGCCTACTTGGAAAGACACAAGACACAGGCAGTGATGGCTATGGCAAAGAAAGGGACTCTACTGTTTGGGGGCCAGGGACTTAGCTCTTAGGGACATAGCGGCCTACCACAGCTTAAACGTTGGCTCTGTGCTTACGCTGTCCATGCCTGATCCACAAGATTGCGGCAACTTTATGGCAGTGGGCATGGACCTTCGTTTTGGATTGGTCAGGATTGGTTGGACGTGGGTGTTTGTTTCCCATATGGTGTGACTTTCTCTCTATTGTCTCCAGGCCAGGCAGTGTTCAGCGCAAGCTAAAATTGTCATCCCCTCTCCCTGCGTCCCTCCTCTCCCTCTTCTTCCTCCTGGCTCAGAGCTGTGGGGCCGCTTGCTGCCCGTCACTCTCCATCACAAGGTAGGGCGCCGTCCTCGCCCGCGCGGGACGGAATGGTGACCCCAAGCTCGTCCACGCACCAGCAGTGGCCGCGCTGTGTGCCCTTGGAGGAGCGACACTGCAGTACACAGGAGAGACAAGGTCAACAGAACTCTACAGCAGAGTACCATGCTATCTATGAAAATGGACATAGTTCAGCCTGCTATTACTGTTTTTAGCTATGGCTATGTAGCTATGTACTTTTGTCCATTTTAACACATAACAGAATGTCATACAGTGTCAGAAACCACATAAGCAAGTCTATCTGAGATTACTAAACAGCTCAACACAGTTTGAGGAAAGTGTGAGATGATTTTTATGCTGGAGTTTTCTCAGTGCTAATTTGTGGGGTACATGCTTCCATTACTTGTTAGCTACATTAGCATTAGAATCAAAGCTAAAGAAGCAAATTTCAGACACCAAACGTGTCTTGGTTGTTTGACCTCATTAGGCTTAAGGGGACAAACTTTTGTTGGTTTTTAACCGAAAATAATAATAAATTACATTTTTTTCTGCAAATGTTAGTGCATAATTGCTCAAATGTAAACCTACAATTCAATTATATATCTTACATTGCTATTTACATCTGTTTGGGCCATGTATCCTGGGGGATCCATACAAAACATGTAACTTTTTAAAATACTCTTTATATACCTTTATCTTAATAATATCTTAATAACAGGGCGGCACGGTGGCGCAGTGGGTAGCGCTGTCGCCTCACAGCAAGAATGGTACAATTCCCGGCCGGGCGACTGGGGTCATTTCTGTGTGGAGTTTGCATGTTCTCCCCGTGTCTGCGTGGGTTTCCTCCGGGTACTCCGGTTTCCTCCCACAGTCCAAAGACACGCAGTCAGGCCGATTGGACATGCTAAATTGCCCCTAGGTGTGTGTGTGTGTGTGTGTGTGTGAATGTGTATGTCTGTCTGTCTGCCCTGCGATGGACTGGCGACCTGTCCAGGGTGTATCCTGCCTTCCGCCCAATGACAGCTGGGATAGACTCCAGCACCCCACCGCGACCCAGAAGGATAAGCGGTTTAGATGATGTATGTATGTATGTATGTATGTACCTTAATAACATAATATTCTTGAAAACGTATGTTGTTATCATATGATCTGAGCACTCGACCCTTCGTGTTTTCTTTATGTTTCTCTCTGAAATTTAAGCCCACCCACTCACTGCTCCTCTCCACAGCCTGACAACGGTTTGTATCTCCCGGACCGCAAATGCTATATGAGGTCAGTCCAGCGCGGCACGAGCTACCGCGCTGCAGCCGCGCGCACGATTACGCTCTCATTTTTCAAATTCAAAACTCAACGGAAACCCGAGTCAACGGTTAGTGCAACAAGTAAGCTAAACAGTTACCTTCTAAAGGTTTTCCTCACAATTAATATTAATACACATTAATAAGTTTATAATTATGTGTCACACGTCTGATAAATTAACTTGAACTTATAATCAACTTTAGCTATGGTAATTTGTCGTGACCTGACGACAGTAACGTCAGGTCCCGACAAACGTGAGTTTAGCAAGCAAGGCTAGCTAAGGTTAGCTTAGCAAAGTTCCATATTGAGGTAGGTTTAAACGTACAGTAACGTTAAGTTGTATTTTTATTCATTTGTATGAAACACAGTGGTGTAAAAAACGTGTGAATCTCAAGGCATTCGAGTAGTAAGTTAATGTTCACTCAGTAACAGCTAACCTATGTAGCTAACTAGCTAACGCTAGCTAACCTAAGTGCTAAGATGTGTCCAGTGTTGTAAAGCAGTAATACAGCTGCGGTCAGCATAGCTGTTTAAAAAAAGAAGATGAAGAAATTTAATTGTGATTTAATGGTGTAGTACTGTTACAAGACTGTAACTGAGAACCTATTTTTCAATAATACTGTAATGTTTCATACTTGTTTAATTTGTCCTTGTTTGCAGTGCTTTTCTACTGAAACCCCTAAGGGGCCGTGGTTAAAAAAAAAAGTTAAAGACATTGCGTTCCCTCGCAAATGTTTTGCATTCCCTCGCAAAAAAATGCGTTCCCTCGCAATTGTTTTGCATTCCCTCACAAAATATATGCATTCCCTATAATATAATAATTCTCCATAATATAATATCAAGACAGTAAGCAAACGTGGCACCAGAGGTGCCCAACGACACTGCCTACATTAGAGCTTTGTTTTTTAGCATGGCTAACGTTAAAAGCTGTTTTCGCAGTCTGTGCTGAGTTTATTCATCAATTGTTCTCTGCAGTCTCTGTAAATGTAGCTTTTACTGTACGAGGACACTCGATCTCAGTTTCAGTTTGCGCTCACTAACAGCATAATCATGTTTGATTTTGAGAAGCGACACTATGTCTTTATATTTCAATCCAAGATCAACGTAAAACTCAATGAGCCGCTTCATGTCTGAGCTTAAGCAAAGCACAGCTTTTGCAAGCGAATGCAAACTGTTGCATCGTAATGCAAAACATTTGCGAGGGAACGTAAAATATTAGTGAGGGAATGCATTTTATTTGCAAGGGAACGCAAAACATTTGCGAGGGAATGCAATGTCATTAACTTTTTTTTTTAAAACATGGCCATGGTACTTTTCACCACCAAGTGAAGCCCATGCTAAACAAAGTTTTCTTATTTGCTTATTAAGCGCCTCCCACCATTCCTAGGGAATGTCCTAGGGAACACGGAGTAAAATATTAAAAATGTGTATATTACTAAACTTGAGTCTTACATTAAACATCCAGCAAAGTTTGAATAAAAGACATAAAATTTAGCTAAATATGATGAAACACGGCTTAACAACTGCTGATCAGACCGGTCTGAGAACAGTGTGGGTGTGGCTGATTAGAAGCTTGATTGACAGCTCTCTGTCCCACAGTCCTAGCCTGCTCCGCCATTCATACAGAAATAAAATGATTATCCAGCTTTCATCTGACGGTAACTGGACGAAAAATGTCATAGACGGATGAAGAAACAATCGAACGGACGAAGCAACGTGCAAATAAACGAATGGATGAAAGAACAATGTTCGTGTATTTATATAAACATATCAACGGGCGACAGGCAGCTATAGACAGATGGTTTTGGTTACGTTGGATTAGCTGTAGCCTGCTAAGTTTTTCTGACTCTCAGTGTTTTTATGTGGGCGGGGCAAGAGAGGTCATCCTTGTGATTGGTAAGGGATGGCATTATGGAAGCATTACTCAATATTAGGATCGCGCAGTGTACATCAAGAGGAAAGAAATATGGTGAAATATATTGGTTATTTATTGGAATGTTATTCAAAGGGTATTCTTAGTACATGATTACTATTGAAGAAACATCTTAAGAACCTTGTGATGTTGGTTCTTGGACAAACTGCTTAGGGACTGATGAAGGAGAGGTTCTACAACAAACCATTAAGAAGAACCTTTTTCAAAAGTTATTTGTGAAACCAAAAATAGTTTTTTTATGGTACCCACCAAACTGACTCTTTAAACCAGTGGTCACTAACCCTCCTCCTGGAGATCTGTTTTCTCGCAGAGTTTAGTTCTGACCTGGGTATAATGCTGCCCCACCTCTTATCAAACACTTCTGCATCTGATTCAGCCAATCACAGTCTTCTAAAGAAGTAAATTCATTGGAGGTGTGGCAAATTATGGCTGGAACTGCACTTCGCTGGAAGGTTGATCTCCAGGACCATGATTGGTAACACTGCTTTAAACCATCTATTGAAAGGTTTTTTAAGAAATTAAAAGTGGTTATTCTGTGGCATTGCTCCAAAGAACCTTTTTTTCTCTCCAAAGAACCATTTTGTTCCACGTGGCACCTTTATATTTTGAGTACCTTCAAACTTATGTTTAACTTAAATGCAGTCTTCTACTTATCCCAAATGCATTCGATCAGCCAAGACATGTTTGGTGTCTTATGGTTGCCTTTTTGGTTTTGCATGGAGCTGTGAGGGTAGTGTAGCAAACAAGTAATGGAAGTTTCTAGTTACCAGGTTAGCATTGTGTAAACTGCCAAACCCTTTCTGAGTTGTAGAAGTTTGGAAAGGGTACTCTAGAACCGGGATTTGATAATCACTTGTATAAGGATCCATATACTGAGTTGTGGCTCTTGTATGTCTGTCTACCTGCTTTTTTCTGTAGAAGCCACGAGTGTCACAGTTGGGGATGTAGATATCACGGTCAGACTGGAAAACGGTGAGCTCGAGACCCCGCAGCACAGCATTGAGCAGCTTCCGGCACGGAGCCTGGGGAGGAAATGAAAGCACAGAGGGAGAGATGGTAAATATGAAGCAAAGAGACAACCTCTTGCATACCTCTCTGATCAAGAATGTGATAAGCATCATTGGTGATTGTTCATTGCACATCAGGGATCCCATAACACTGTTCTTGATTCTATGTACCAGGGTTTTTTTTCTTTTTAATGAAAAAAACAGCTGTTTCCACTTTGCTGATAACAGTCGAAAAGGTATGAGATCGACCATGAGACACTTTGGGCAACAATCTGTGATGATTCACGGAAAATGAGGGGCTTTCAGTCATCAGCAGACCACTTAAGTGTTAAATCCTGCTTACTCAGCACCACTATTATAACAGATATATGATAATAGGGGACGTTTTAGTAGATGAGTTTCATGGGCATATTGTGATTGCCCATGTGAGTAGGATCAGTCATGGGGGAAAGAGTAGAAAATAAACATTAAGGAATTGATCTGCTGTTGAAATGGACTATTAGATGAAAAGACTAACCTTATCAATTTCACCGCTGTGTGAAGGATGCGGACCTGGGAATACAACAAGATGACACAGGCATATAAATGCATTTCAAGAATTCATTACATGTAATTGTGTGTCATAGAATATTTTACCCCTTATATTACACTGAATGCATATTCCTGAGAATGTCAGAATGAACCCATTCTCAGTTTTCTGCTTAACCGCAGTAGCTTGTGATGAACAGTAGATGGAGATGCCTGCTATATGAATCAGCACCATCAAAATGTGCACGCAATCCTCTGTTTCTGTGTGTCTCTTGGTTCATTTCTGTGTCACAATAAGACACTCAAGCACTTATAAGTTTCTCACTTAGGCACTTACGACACATATACACCAAGAACGGACGTATAGACACACATGAACAATGACAGCAAGTGATCTGTTAACCATCAGCACAATTGCACCACCCAAGAGCCTCAAGTCACAGAAATGCTTTCATACCGCAAAGGAATTTATTGCCATTGCTTGCAAACCAGCAGCTATTCCTGGTGTTTTTATGCTCCTGCCCTTCCTCCACTAACATTTCTGTCATCCTACCAGCGTGCTGTACGAGGCGAGCGCTTGCCAATGCGTCCCTGGAACCTGAAACACATGCTGCTGCTATTTGCCGGAGCGCTTAAAGCGGATTATGCCTGTCATTCTCATGCTGCATGCTGCCCGGCAGAATGATAGAGCAGAGGATGAGGCTGCGCTGTGCGAGCGAAGCCGTGGAGAAATACGGCCAGTACCCGTGTGGTCAAGGCAGGGCGAGGCTAGAAACCCTGGACCCTCTGAGAAAAGCACAGAAAGTAACCAAGGGTGTGAATCTCTGAGCTCCAAACGATTTGTTTAGATAACAGTTCTTTAGGAAACAATTTGATGCATCATGGAATCTCATGTTTCACCTCATTTTTATTTATGTCAGTGTGATTCAGAGCTATTTTTTAAAATACACTGAACACACAAACGTGACTGGAGTAAAAACAATATATGAAGATTTTTGGGGGGGGGTTATGTTACAAAATAGCAACTTTGAGTATCATACAAACTGATTCTAATCAATTCTAACATTTCAAAATCTGGCCATCATGATGCATCAGTACATTTTCATACCCCTGAAAGTAACACATAGTAATATTAGTTAAAAATGGCATCTATAAATCTCTGGCATGTTTCAGGGCCCCTTTCTAGCTCTTGGGGCCCCTGAAATATTCAATGCTTATTTATGAAGGGGCAAAAAGATGTCCTAAAGTCTTTACCTGCGGGGTGCGGTCTCTCCGTGGGACTCATCTTGTTGTACTTGGCGCAGACGCCCCTGCCCTGCAGCAGAGCCTGGAGTGGGCTGTGCTCCCTCGGAGGAGGCATGCAGCGCAGGCCCTTGGCACAGCTTAGGGTGTACACCCCACACGGCTCCCCCAAAGCCAGGACAGCTGTGTTGGATACCCCCACATGGTCCCGTGAGGCCCGGCCCGAACCCAGTGAGTCTTTGCAGGATGGACAGAGCTTGTGGGGGCCCAAACGGCTGGCCGTGGTCCAGGATCCACAGTGAGCCACCAACAACAGCACGATAGCGGTCAAGTTGGAGAGGAAAGGCATCTTCTTGCGCTCCGGTCTCAGGAGGTTCTCCATGCTCCCTTGTATGCTTGTACGGACGTGGCTGATGCTATTTCTGGACGTTCGTGTTCCTCTTTCTTCCCCCCCTGTTCTCTGTTTTCTTTACACGTTCCTCTGTTTCAGCTTGGTGCTCAGCCCCGTTCGGTCGCGCGGCAGCCAGAGGGATACGATCCGAGAGTGAGGGAGGCTTTTAAAGATCAGAAAGGCGGTGATAGAGAGTGAGAGAGGGAGAGAGAGCACAGTTATGACACCTTCAGGGGCTGGGAGTGAGAGAGAGAGAGAGAGAGAGAGAGAGCAAGGGAAAAAGGGAGGGAGAGAGAGAGAGAAAGAGGGGGTAGAGAAAGAGAGATTATTTTTCCTTTCAGAAATGATCAAGCTCCAGCTCCAGCTTTTCTTCACCTAGTACTGCATCTGGAAACAGTCCTTTACCCTGAAATACTTTGTCCACTTATGTCAAGCAATGTATACTTTGTTTTCTTCACATATGAACATGTCAGACCATTCTGGCAACGTTTGCCATGGTAACACAATGAGGGCGAGGGATTGTGTTTCTGTCATGACTCCATACTGACCGCAGTCTTATGAGACTCTTTAAGAGTTGCACCACTAACCTTAAGGACACCAAAATGGTTGTCTGCTACAGTCCATGTGCAGTAGAAGAGCATAAGTGCAAGTATTTATTTCTATGTGTACAGTGGCTGAAAGGATGGGGAAGGCATGGCAGGCAGCCGATCAGACTTTTGTCACCTCAAAGTTTATGCTGGAGAAGGAAGGCATCATCTGGATAATTGTGGCAGTGTTTTCCATGGAATGAGCACAAGACGATCCATTCCAGCAGCTAATAATGCAATCTGTCTATTCACTGAACCATTTCAATCTGTTCTCTGGGGGAGATTTTGTGACGTCCATGTGTGTTTCCTTTAACCTGAATACCTCTAGGCCCAGACCTTGGATGAGATGTGCTGTGCTGTCTTCTACTGCAATTAGCAAAAATAGCATAGAAATGGTGCCATATTGTGGATGGCGCTACTTACATCATACAAACAGTAGACTGCTGCTTTGTAATGAACACGTCCAGATTTAGAAACAGGTGGTTCTATTTGAAAGCATGTTTTTCTGTCTTCGAGAAGCCAAACTTAGGCCACAAACTGGGGTCTTTTGAAATCTGTGGTGTTTATGACGGTGATGCTTTCAGTTCATGAGCAGCTGGGAGGGTCTTGTAAGGACAAACTTTGTTTATTTGATTTTGTCACGAAGGAGTTGGAATTTTGCGATATCAAAGATAAGCTGGTATGAGTAGAGGCAAACAGGATTTAGATGTTTATCTAACTATATTGACATGTGTGGTCCTCGCACCACTCTCAAGCAAAGATACGTTTAGCCCTGCCCTATCCACAGAGATGTCTGAACAAAATCTAAGCAGAACTGTTGCTTTCAGTTGAGCAGTTGTGAGAATCCTGATACAAAACTTCCTTGAACTCTGGGAAACCCCACCAGGCTGGGGTTGTCTATCTCTCTCTTTTTCTCTCTGTTCGAATGTCAGCTGGCTGGCGTTCTTATTAAAGATGATTAATCTTGGCAAAGGGAGCAAAAATCACCTGCTGTCTTGCATTCCCATCTAAGGCCTAGAACAGCACAGCACAGCACAGCCCAGCCTCATGCTCAGTTTGCACATGTTTTGTCAGGAGAATGTTCCAAGAGGCACACCAGGCCAATGGGGGTTAATGGGGGTTCTCTTTTCCAAACTTGCCCCACAGGACTACAGGTTTTCCTCCCCACCTCTGTCTGGGGGCAAGTGAGATAACTCAAATCTTTCTCTCCAGGTTCTTGTGTTCTTTTTTGCTTAAGAAAACATCTATCTATACATAAATACTGCACAGGCTGCCACTTTCATTTAGGAGCCTTCACACATTAGTACACAGATTGGTCCTACAGGTGCCTTCTTGCCTACTAGGCTTTAAATTCTTGTCATCTATGCTTATGGATTTTTCCATTGTTCCAGAGGTTTGTGAATCAGTTCTCAACTGTACTGTTGTGGCAGGGTTTGCACCAGACCCTTTCAGCTGCCTGGAAACACATCACTACCGAGAATGGAAACTGGAAGATAATGGTCTGACTAATGGTTCAACTGGAAAATAATGGCTTTTTAAGGTTAACGCAGATCCCATGTCTTTTCATTAAATGGTTTCAGCAGTCGTTTTTGGACAAGTGTGCCTCATAGAATCAGAAATATAGATATTTTAAAGTAATAAATCAGACAGTCTTAATGTTATGAGTTTATCATGCATGTTATATCCAAATGAGTATGAGAATGGAAACTGGAAGGTAATGCCTCAACTAAATTAATAGCTCTTTAATGGGATCATTGTGAGCAAAAAAAGGCTATGAAAAGTGTGTTTGTTGATCAGCTTGAATTTACACTGACAAAATTAGATGGCTCAAACCCCTCAGTGAGGTAAAATATTCAACAAAATAACAAGTATGTATTTATATTTACAGTGACAATGAATGGCACTCCTAGAAATTCTTGTGAACAAAATCAAACTGACATATATTCCCACTTGTATCTTAATGTTTTGAATTGTTAAGTTGTAAACAAAGCAATTCAGAGTAGTTTCATGTGAAATGCACTGTTTCAGAGAAATAGTCAGAATTGTTCACAGTGGTTTTGATAGAAACCAGACACAAACCTCACATTAAGCTATTATATGAAACGGTTATAAATAATGTTTGCTACTGCCTGATACGGTTTATGAAAGCTTTGAGAAGCTTTTGGTCTAAAATGTATTTTTCAAAATACATTTGTGGCAAAGAAGTACATGCAGATTGATGTGAGGTAAAATAGAACACAAATTAAGCTTTTTTCCCCTGATTTTCCAACATTACATAAAACTTAGAAGGCGTTTGTAGGTTGGTCATTTTGGATTGTAAATAAAATGGCTAGATTTGCATTGTAGACATTGTGATGCCTGGTTCCTATAACCACCACTGTAAAGGAATTAGAATCAGTAAGTGTTTCTACAATTACCCATTTCACATCGAAACACCGAATGAGTTCGTTTACATTTCAACGTTTAATTATGCAGGAATTTCGAAAAATCTGCGTAATTCCAACTAATCATCTGTGAGTTTATATTCTTTACCAAATGTATCAGTGATTCAGGAGAGCACTATGTGAGCAGTGAACATGGTCAATCCCGCCTCGGAGATTCTCGCTAATTCTCCAATTGGTTAATATCACATCAGCAGCGCCACGCTTTTGCCTCCATTGGCGCGTCTTATCCACCGGCCTCTGATGTAAACAGGAAAAGTCCTACACAGTTTAGCCAAGTTTTTCAGCTACATAGCTAGCTGATGGAGTCCCTAGCTAGAAGTAAACACAAGTGACCTTAAATAATCTAATTTCTTTTCTACTGATGTAAGGTAAGGAGTTAAACGAAATGATTATACTTCGGTAAAAACTGATTGATAGGTTAGTGGTCCGGCTGATCGAATATCTTACCTTTTACTGACGTGGTTAGTTATGCTAATGCGTTAGCCGAACGAGAAATGAAGTTACAATGCCTTTATTTGGAGCCGTTAGCACTTAGCTAGCTAACTAGTTTGACGAGGTTGAACACATTCGAAAGCGAAAGTTAGCTAGCTGGTTGCCTAAAATGCCCTCATTGTGTTTGACTAGTTTACTAATGTAGCCAGTACATCAGCGACACGCTAGCCAGCTAGCATGTTAGCCTGTAAACTTTAGGTAGAATAGGTCGACGCGTCGAAACTCGTTCCCAGCATGGCGTTTATAACTGTAGAGGCACAATGAAATATGCAAACAGTCAACTGTCCGTATCAGTGTGTTTTAAAATAGTTGGCTAAACCAGATATTTTCTCAATACTGTTTTTTACAAGTAACAGCTGAATCGTTACGTCGTTGTTACGTTACGTTGTCAGTCAGTTAGCTGCTGTCATCCCAGGCCAGCGACGGTCATTTAGTGTGACTCACCTTAGTGTGTCTAGTGTGACTCACTTTAGTGTGACATTTTTCTAAATATTACCTAACCATTGATAGGACGTCAGCTTCTTTGTTGCCAGTTTGGTTCCCTTGGCTTTAACATTACATCCGTAACACGCTTCAGTATTGTCACTGACTTTACTAGTTTTGTTTTAGTGAACATAGATGTGTAAAACTGCGCTCATACTTCTTATTGTTCAAATGTGTTTTAGTCAAGTGTGTGAAAAAGTTTGCCAAAGTCTGCCCTCAAAGAATTGTACTTCACTGCATTTTGTGTTATCTAGCATGTCTGTTTGTACATTTGCTTATTGAGCATATGTTATCAAGGGACTGGAAGTTCATCACTTGACATTCATTCAGACGGAAACTTGGAGAGGGACTTTCTGTCACGTCAATTGTCATATCAGTGTAAATATTCTATGAATCAAAACGGGGCAATCAAAGCAAGGCTATTGTAGCCTCTTTCATGCAGTAATTAGATTAGAAAATAGGTTGCAGCTTGACTGCATTTTCTAAACATCTGTTCACAACCCGAGAAGTCAAAATCTTGTGTCAATGTTTTTGTTTCCACGGTTACACCCCCCTCTTCCCCCACCAAGATGGACGACATCAATTTACACTACAGGTTCCTGAACTGGAGGCGTAGGATCAGAGAAATCAGGGAAGTGCGTGCTGTGCGTTATCAGGAGCGCTACAAACGCATGCTGAAGGATGGAGACACTCTGAGGTAGGTCTGACAAGTGGCCTGAACCTGTATATGCTGTCTAATTTTTGTTATTAAAGATCAACAGTGAAATTGCCACGTTCAAGATCTGTATATGTAATTTAATTACCAATGTTTTGGGCTCATTAGTCTCTTTTGTAATTACATGAAGCATATGGAGGATCAGTGTGTGTGTGGCTTGTTTTGTATTAATGTGTTACTAAAATGATAGTGCTTCATAAAAGAATTGTATTTGTTTATCTATTTATCATAGTAATTCAGTCCTTTCAATCCTCCTCTGATTTTTGTGTTTTGTCATGTTTGTCAGTCTGTGCCTTTAGCATTTATTTAAGGATTTTGAATGTCAGTGTCATCTGTCACTCTTTGTTTTTAAATGCCACAGTCAGAACTAGCCCCAGTGCTTATGTTTCTCTGGAAATGCTGGGGTTTGTCAGCGAGGTGGACTTGGGACTGAAAAGCATCATGTGTGCGTGCATTCGAGCCATCAGCTTCTACCAAAAACGCAAACAAGACTGCCTCTCTCAACCTCACTGATTGAAACAATTATAATCCCAGGGAACGTTATGGGCTGCTTGTTTTTTGGTCAGCAAAAGATGAAAGCACATTTGACGTATTGGAAAAAGCATCAGTCTTTGTGCAATATGGTGTTAGAATTGCACAAAACATTAAATGTTCTATTTTTTTGCACTCCTCTGATATTTGAGTCCTCTGATGAGGATTCACTGTCTCTGTCATATTGAATTACAAATGACTTGTATGTACAGTTGCAGGAATGCTTGTGATCCTTTTAGAATTATAATTAAATGCAGTTTAATCTAACAAACATAACATTTTACAGTGCATTATCTTTTTTGAACAAAAAGTTTAAAAGATCAAGCTCACGGTTGTATAAAACATGAATTTCTAGCATAATGACCAGTTGAAAAGAGGCTGTGCTGCCATATTAAAAAATTAAATTACCTGCAGTTTTGATTGCCTGCTGTCCACAGAGGAATTCTGTGCAGCATGGCCTGGTCAAAAGAAAAAAGGCCTTGAGAAGAAAAGTCTTTGAAAACGTTACAAAGTGTTTCTAAAAAATTGAGCCTTCACCAGTCAGCTGTCAGACAAATGTTTTACAAATGGAACAAATTCAGAAACCACTTAAAATCCTTCAACAACTGACGAATAGCCATCAAATGCCAAAGGATTCCAGGCATCTCTTACACCTTATAACATCTGTGTCCATGAGTCTGGCATAAGGAAAACACTGAACAATAGTGATGTTCATGGGAGGTTACCAGGGAGGAAATTTGTGCTTCCCATAAAAAAAATTGCTACTCATTTAAGTCAGCTAAAGACTGCTTAGATGTAGGACCTGATTGATATTAAACCTCTGTAGCAGATGTGGATACAGATTTCAAGGGGCTAAACATTCTGATAACTGATAATATTGGTCAGAATAATTTTAAATGGTCAGCGCTCACATTTTTAAAAACTCAAGTTAACGACAAAACTTAGTTTTATATAAATATTGCAGTGTTGGGCATGGAGCAGAATTATTTGTGTTTTTGGTTTCTGTTAATTTTCCCTTTTTTGTAAGTTTTTAGAAAAAGGTAGTTTTATGTCTTTATTTCATTTACTTTTACCATCTGTCTCACTCTCTTAGTGAATGCACTGTGTAGTTTTCTTTACCATTAGCTTGTGAATTTATAGCCAGCCGTCAACATCAATGTATGTAATCAAAAATTTTTTCTGTAATTTTCTCCATTTTAATGTTTTGTGTTGTACAGTTGAGGTAGGACAGTACATATTGGCTTGATTTTAGCCACAGAGAATGCAAGTAAACGCTTCTTTGAGTGTCCCCATACTTCTTTTTCACAGGCTATGATACCTTTTTATTGACATTTTAATTCACATCGGATTAATATAACCATTTCTACGACTTAATTTAAACGGCGCCACAGTTTTTACTGATTTGGAAGCACACAGTGTGTAAAAATAACTGACATGATGAATTCGCATGGGACTAAAATCACTGAAAAACACTGGTAAAAATAACATCCCCCAACCTTTCGATGTTATACTAATCCCATTCAAAAAATGACATAGGCCTAAAACTTAAAAGAGGTTCACAGGCTTATTCTAACAACGCAGCAGGTCAGGTTATATTTAAGTGGCGATAGAGACAGCTTTGTGACTCTTAAAAACAACATATTCTGGAATTAGATGATGCTATGTAAGTATGTGAGAAACACTGATGCATTTTTAATATGAGGGTGGTAATTCCTCCCAAACCTGACTGAATTCATGTTAGGTTGTTAGAGGATGATCATTGTAGAAACACGGACTGTTGTCAATCTTACTGGCTATTTCTTTGACAGGATATAAGTACCTATAGCAACAGTGCTTTATATTAAGAGTTTCTAAATGAGTTTCTTTCTACTTCCCTGCTGTAGTTACCAAGGGAACTCTGATGAGGTTGGCTGCTATGTGGCTTCACGGCCCTTGTCAAAGGGAAACTGCTACTTTGAGGTAGGTGGCACGTCAGGATTGAGAGACAATGCCAATGCAGATGTTAAATTAATTAATGGTGTTATTCTGTTGCTTTGCTGCTTTTGTTGAGAAATTCAGTGACAGTACTGTGCTGAAATCAACTTGCAGTAGCCTCTGTAAGGTTTTTTTTTTGGGGGGGCTACTTTCTACACTTGGTTTATTTTCAAGATTGATTCCAGGTTCCTTTTATGCAAAACCAAAACCCCTGTTTTGACAGCAGTGCAAACAAATTATGATATTTCCAGATGGAAACAGATTTGAAATGAAAATTGAGCTTGTAAATCACATAATAATGAATATCCTGCCACAAGCTTTTTTATCCTTTCTGAAAATTGTTTTCCCTTGTCTTCATGTAAAAAGAGTCTAGATATCTTCCGTTAGAGTCATGGAACACAGGCCACAGGTTTTTCTGTAAACTTTAAAACGTGGTTCGGCAGGACACATCATCAGAACACCAACTAAATAAGCCATAGTCACACACTCTCCTGTCCACTATGTGCTGTTTGCTCAGAGTTGCTTTAGGCTGCCATAAAACAAAACATCATCACAGTACTTGAAGACGCTTTCATGACACATATTACAATATTTCGTTTTTCAGAGATTTGAATACCATTTGGTATGGCCAAATTTCAATAGCAAAACAGTAGTGCCATATTTTAAAAAGGCTGTGAAAAACTCTTGAGTACAAAAGTTTTTTTTTTGTTTTTTTTTGTTTTTTAAATTTTATTTAGTCTTTTTAAAAGCAAAAGGAGGGAAAAACAAACAAAAGGTAAAAATAAATTGTTAAACAAGATTGTTATAATGGCCTGACATCCAGTCAACTACTTGTTACCATGCAGTTTATAAAGTTACTATGCATTGGTTGTTGTTGTTATTTTTTTTACTACAGCTGTTCTTAGAGGTCAACTGAGCACAAATCAGAAAACTATACTTTAGTCTTTACTTGTTTTATTTATCTCATGTTTACTTTCTCATAAATTGGACTAAATCTTTACCAAAGAAAAAAACGTGGAGTGTATGTTACATAGGAAGATATTTCAATGAGAAGCTTTTGTTGAAGTGTAGAAGACCAAGACAGTCAGGTACAGATTTGTTTTAGTCTGAAATTTATGTAGAACATGTTGATTTCTGTGGAGTGTCTGCCTTTTGACCTTGTTATGTTAAGCAGCTGAATTTTCACAAATTAGGCAAAATACTTAAAAATAACTGTAAGGGACATTGGTTTCTGAACATTTTCAGTCACCTTTTTTCCACTTCTCTTGAGTTTTCTTGTCTGAGACAATGTTTAAAAACCTCCAGCAGTGGTGCTGTGCCACACACAAACTGCCATGCTCCTGCCATGTCATTGTCACTGCTGACTTGAGAATGGTCCACCACTCATATAATATCTCATCAGCAGCAATCCTGCGGTATAAGAAATGTGTGGGTGGGGTAATAATTAAAATGTTGAAGTGGATTTATTGAGATTGTCTTGTTTTGTCAGCTTACAGTTTAACAAAATGAGATGGATTTAACATTAATCTATTATTCAGATATATCAAATATTTCATTTTTGACTAAAGCTTACAAAGTACAACAGTAAAATTAGTCATATGAAACATGACTGCTATTAAAAATGTTAAATGTTGGTTGGATAGACACTGGCACAGAATACGAAATCTTGGCATAAATAACAGAAATAGGAGACAAAGTGACCTGACACCAAATGAGTTTTTTTGGTCAAATACAAAAAAATCTTTACTGTACCTTTTAGGCCTTTGGACAAGTAGGTTAATGATGCATGCAGTTGTGCAGTGCTCCAGAAGTACTGACACCCATAAAAAATACTCATGCTCATATGTATTGGGACATCCAAGCAAGGGCTTGAAAAACAACTAAGTTCAGTTTTTGCAACTCTCCAGAACATATTGACGAGCTGAGGAAGGTGTACAAGCTTTACCTGTCCTGAAACATTTGCCATAAAATACAGTTTGGGAGAAAGAAGATCCAAGTGATTTAATACGGGAAAGTCTGTGAGTTTGGGCTGTAAATTAGGTTTTGGGAGAGGGCATGCAGGGTGTGATTTATGGATCTGGGCTGAGGCCGTCTGGATGAGAGGCAGCTGCTGCCGGGCTGTGGGCTGCTGGCAGCACAGCCTGGTTTGATGGACTTCCTCTCCTGGGCATTGGACCTGGAAAGTAACACCCTGTCCATTATCCTGCTGTGCTGTACATACATGTGGCCCAGCGCTCAGCCCCACTCAACTCAGTTCATATACTGTCTGTCAGAAGTTTTCAAAAATTGTGATAAATGAGCGTGCTTGCTATAACTTAACAGCATTTGATGTTAAATAGTAACCAGGTTAATTCTGAGAAAAACTATATCGGCATGTGCACATGCAAAAAAAAAAAAAATCATAAAAATCTCACTTAGCAGCTGTAACTGCTCAACTGCTCAGTAATGCTTGTTTGTATTATTGAATTAAATATTTCATTTAGATTTAGGACATTTAGTGTCTGCTACATTGTAATTCTAGTAATATTATTATTTTAATTAGTAATGGATTGAAATTAAAATGACCAAAACCAAATACACTAGGACACACTAGGCTGAAAACCGAAACTACAAATGGGAAAAAAGTGAAAATAGATAAAAACTGTTAAACCTACTAAAATTATTACAGTATGTAGGCTATATTATATGCCTACAAAATCCTGTGTCCTCGACCAAAAACAGTTGGTCATCCAAGGGAGTTAATTCCATTATTTCTTAAATTATACTTAGCGCATTGACACTGTTGTTTGTAACTTTTTCATCATTTAAAACTAATTACAAATAGTGTTGGCATACTAGCTGGGACTTTTCTTTCTTCTGTCTGTTGTTTGCTGTACACTATGTATTAATCTGGATGTCTTGTTTTCTTTTATCAAACCTCAGGTGGAGAAGTTCTTTGGTATTGTATCCACTATTAACACTTACTGTGAACAGAAATTATTAATGCCTTGTCTAATATCCTTGTCTAATGTACCGGGAAATAGTTGTACGTGGCCAATGCTTTCATGCATCCTTTTGCTCCCACTTAAAGTGTTTGAACTTGTCTTCTCTGATCACGTTACCTGAGGACGTTGTGCGTCAGTTACCTGAAGACGTTGTGCTGTACTGTATGTCTGTATGCCTCTGGTGGCCACTCGTCACAAATACTGTCACAGATAACGGTACTGATATTTATATATGCTGTAGGGGTGTCATGGTATGCATGTTAATATTCTTTTTTTGATATGGGGGTTGCGAGATGATTCATGCTATTAAATACATGATTTTATAGTTCTGTTTAACACAATCCATGATTTTTTTTAAAATCATAACAACAACGATAGCAACAACAACAAAAAAAAAAGAGAAAAAGAGATACTTTGTACTATCAGTTTGATTAGCCTACCTTGTATGGTTAGAAAGGGGGAGAAAGCAATCTTCCGTTTGAGTACAATAATTGATTGAACATTTACAGTGTGCAAACATTGCTCAACACTAGTAACAAATACCTGTGCTAATACCTCAAATATGCTGACTCGTTTGTGAAGACCTCACTCAAATGTTTCAGTTACCAGAGCATGGAGAAAACACAAGTTGCAGGAGCTTCTTCTCTCTAGGCATCCGCTTTTTGTATCGGTTCTGAACCGGCAAAACAAATAACTCGCTCCATAGGGATATTCGTAGCTTTCGATTTGCGCTGTTACTCTGTTGTAGAGAGTCTTGGACTTCACAGTGTGCTAGAAGTGATTGAACCACATTAGAAAATCCCCTTTCACTCATTTCAGCCAGAAAATAAGAGCCACACTTTTTATAGAAACACAAGATCCAATTGAAAGTTAACTTGTAGTGCTCAGTTTATTAATTTATGGTCTACACATTTTTGGTTTATTTTTATTATTATGATACACATTTTCTTGAACATAAATCTTGAACTTTTGTTTATGTTGTTGTTATTATTATTATTGTTATTATTATTTTTAAATTTTATGTCTTTTAAGAAAATGACTTGCACTTGTTATTCATTAATCTGTCATTGTTGTCTTATGGGGACAACAGTGGGAATTACAAAAAATGTTTTGAAAATTACAAAAAGTGAATAAATAAATGTAAAGTTATTTTAGCATTTGTTTTCTAGTATTGTAATGCAAAAATGACAATACGTGTCATATTGTGAAATTTGTGTATTGTTAGACCCCCAGTATGCGATATTTTGTTTCTCAGTATAAACCTGGTAAGACTGCAGTATGGTAACAATCCGTCAAAGCAAATATTGCAAACCAATATAATATTACAAAAGTTACAAAAAACTGACGAAGAGAAAGGCAAAGCTACGTGTCCTTAAATTTTTGACAGACGTGTAGTTATTGTCTTTTAGATATGCTGCATCACTTGATTTTCATCGTCGGATTACGGATGTACTGTATTTGCAGTATAGCTAGCAGTGTCTGGCTATTTTAAATGGTGTTACAGAACGCCCCAGAAGGGGAGAATCACACACAAGCCTTCATGCATGCTTCTTGAAGACATTCGGTCCTCAGAAACGAGTTTGACATTTTCAGCCATGACTTGAGTGGGATTGATTCTTCTGGGTGATGTAGGACATCTGATTGTGACGCACGTTTCTGAGAGAATCCCCTGGATCACGGGAGTGTGATTCCCGTAAAGGTCATGTGCCTAGCGGAATATGCGTCAGCGGCACGCTCAAGTTTCCTCGTTACACTTTCACAGGAGTTTCATTTCACCTCCTTTGGCCCCCAGGCAGCAGCCTGATCGCCCAAAACCCCTGCACATACGCTGCTGAACCTTTAGCTCTTTAAGCTCTTCCTCTTGTTTAAACAACCTCATTCACTCAAAGAAAAAAACCTCCACAGTGATCTAAAGCCGTCTGCTTTTTCAGGGAGCGTGTGTGTGAATCAATTTTGTCCTTAGTCAAGTGGAAATTTTCTCTATTAGCCTAATTGATTATTTTCTCTGGAAGTGTGGGACGGAATTCTTAGCTGCCGAGTTCACGGCAGGGTTCCCTTTTGAGGAATGGCATGTCTTCAGTGTTCATGGCACATTAAATTCACAGTAGGATGCTTGTAGAATGAACAGCAAACATTAATATTTAGGAAATGCTTTTAGGATTTACTGTAGCTTCGTAAAGCTTGGAGAGCAAATCCTCGAAAGAGTCAACAGGCGAGGGGTGGGAGGTGATGGGTGGACTTGGCTTTAAACCTGCAGGAACCTGAGGAGACTCTCTCAGGCTATGAATAAGCTTTGGCTCTGTGTGTAGGGTTTAGTTTGTAGAGCAGGAAGATGTGGATAGCCAACAGCTGTACACCAGCCATTCTACTGGAGATGGATACAAACATTAAGCCACGTGGACCAGAATCTTACCTGCTTTTCTGCTGTGGTCAAATGTCCTCATAAGCCATGAATTTCATGTTATTCTGATCTTTGTAAAGATCATTAATTAAGTATTGCATGGGAGGATGTTGTTAAATTAATCAAGAAGATTACTCAGAGAAGGATAAGAGTCTAATTAGGGTTAGTGATTGTGATTAGTGTCAATAGTCTCCAGTTGTTAGAGATCAAGAAGAAGAAGTTCAGAAGCAAGTTGAGTTGCGATTGTATGGTGCTCCTACTATGCACCTTGGTAGGGCGTGGTCGGGCGTATTGCACTGTTGTGATGTTTTGCATACAGGCAGTTAAGCAGTAGCTGGGAGGTCACATTCTTAATTGCAGGTTACTTGCCATGACTTCTTCCTCTGACTCAGTAGACCTGAGGTCTGTTATTCCTGGCAACCTTTCCCTCAAATGTACACAGCTGCTGGCGCTTTCTTAGATACCCCACCCATTCCCCCCTTGTCGTGTTAAAGTCATGTCAATAATATTGCTTATTAAGTCTCAAATTGAGGTCATGAGCGCTAGTGCTAATAATCTCCATCCAGTGGGTGTTAAGGTCATTTTCCAATTATTTTGGTAACATTCAATCACAATTTTGAATTTGTGACTTAAGTTGTTGAGCAGAGCCAACAGTCAAAAGGCAGCATTACCCAGCACAAAAAAATACATGAACAATTTTGCATGAATGGGCTGAAGTGTGTTTGCGGTCCTACAGGTGACCATAATGGACACGGGAGTCAGGGGGACGATTGCTGTGGGCTTGGTACCTCAGTACTACAAGCTTGACCATCAGCCTGGCTGGCTACCTCACTCCATAGCTTACCATGCTGACGACGGGAAGTAAGTTATACAAAACTTGCCATTTAGATTACCATTTAGAATTTTTGAAAGTGTTCAGTCAGTTTTTGGTTTTCTTTTCTTCCCTTAAATGATTAACCAGGTAGATAATAAGTAGTATAGGTAAATGTGAACGTCTTATATAAGTGCTTTTGGCTTTTACACCCTGTAATTTGATGGTGTTTTTGTTCTGCTGTTTTTCTGTTAATGAGAAACACTTCCTGCTTTCTCAGCCCCCACCTTCCAAATGAACAGCTAATCAGATGTTAGTGCTGAAGGTCTGCTGACTCTGTCTTTGCTGTCTTTTTCAGACTGTATAACGGCAACCCAGTTGGCCAGCAGTTTGGCCCCAAGTGTAACCGTGGTGATCGAATAGGCTGTGGAATCTATGCAGACACTTTTGATGCTGGACTAACAACTGTGTTTTTCACCAAGAACGGCAAAGAGGTGAGTCACTCTTGCTCACCACAAACATCTTCCATTTCTGAAACTGTTGTATGACAGATATATGTACATGAATGTAAACTGTGTCCACAGATAATTCTTATTAGCTGGCTGTCAGTTCACCTCAGCACAACACAGTAGTCATGTTGTTCTCGAACTATTTGTTCTTTTAGATGAGGGCTTCCTGGCTTTATTTTTCTTGTTCAGTGTTTCCTGTATGTGGCCTTCTTTGAAAAGGAACTTCACAGAAATGAACAGTAACTTCAAATGAATGAGGTTACGGCAGACTGTGAAGAAGTTATTTGGCGCTGGCATTTGTCCCATGTTGATATTCTCCCTGTGATGTAACAAACAAGCTATGCCGTTGTGCATTGTGGGTAAATGCTTGCTGTGAGAAAGTTCATAAACACTTCACTAATGTGATTGCAAATGTTTACATGCCATTAAATTCACTCAACCAATGGTGAGCTTCCATGCTGAAGCCATTTAATAAACCCATGCTTTCCATCGGGCAAGTTCAAGGCCGACAGAAATGTAGGCCTCATTTCACAGCAAGTTCTTCTACGGCCTACTTTCACATGACCAAGTGATCCGTAACTTGTAAATAACGGCCCTGTTATGACTTTTCGTTCTCCTTGATCATTAGAGTATTAATGACCTGCAAACAATTACAATGCACACATAGTTAACACAAGCAACGATGAAGTAAGCAACAGATTTTTGTTTGTTTTTCAATAGTTCATCTTTTTAGTGCAAATATTCTCTGCTTACTCAAAACCTGTGTGTGTGTGTGTGTGCGGTGGGGGGTGGTTGGTGCAGGTCGGCTCTGTGGTGGTGCCAGTTGCTCCGGATGGACTCTTCCCCGCTATCGGGATGCACTCTTTGGGGGAGGAGGTGCGGCTAGACCTTCAGGCTGAGTGGGGCAGAGAGGAAGAAGACAGTGTGATGATGGTTGACAGCCATGAGGACGAGTGGGGCCGTCTCTATGATGTCAGAGTCAGCGGAACGGTAAGGCAACAGCGCCATTCTCTAGTTCCCTAAAAGTGCAAGGTGTACTTGGGTTGATGGGTTTCTTAGGATGAAAAAATAACAAAAACGTTGCATTGTTCTCTTTCCAAAAAATAAATGATGATTAATAGTTAATCGTGATTTAATGATTATCAATTCAAATATATTACTGAAGTTACACAGGAAATGTTGCTATTGCCGAATTTGATCCTCCCGATTTTGAAAGAGTGGTCTTGCAATACTGTGATTAAGGCTGCGTCTCAAATATGTGAATTATTTACTGGCCCCAGGATAGTGAGTTAGTGTTTTACCAAACCAGAGTGAATTATGAAAGAACTGGGCCTGAGATTTCTTCTTGGCTGCCTGTGCACACATAGTTTACAGCATCTCCACTCTTGCGAAAAGCACCTGGAGGGCTAGTATTACAGAGGAAGGCGCGCTGTGCTTGGCATGTGTGTTTTTTCGCACAAGATTCCTTTATGACAAAATGGAAGAGAATTGTGTGTGACAGTGGCGACAATATTCACCCATAATTCTCCAGAGTAAGTGCGGCAGGCAACATGCAGTTGTGCTTAGATGGTTCATTTAGCCCAACTTTAGCTCACAGATGTGTTTCTAGAAAGACAGGCTCTGCTCGCTCTTATTCAAGATTCAAGAGTTTCATGTCCTGAGACCACATCACTTGCCAGAGGCCTATGGAGAATGAGGTGTTATGGTGGTTGGAGGGAGGGCCATTGAGTGCGAGGTGTTCAGAGTCCCAGTGGCCTGGGGGAAGAAACTGTTTCGTAATCTTGTGGTCATTGATTTCACACTCCTATATCGTCTACCAGATAGGAGAAGTGTGAAGAGATTGTGCTGGGGGTGAGTTTTGTCCTTGATGATCTTTTGGCCCCTTCTAAGGACCCTGGAATGGGAAATGTCCTGTAGTGGTGAGAGCGCCATTCCTGAGATTGCCTGGGTTGTCCTGACCACCCATTGTAAATACTGTATGCCCAGTCCTCTTTTCTTGTCTGAGTGACATTACGAACCAATAGAATAAGACCAGTTTTGTAAATGAGAGGTAGATGAGGAACATTTCTGCAAAGGTTAAAGAATCTCTATATATTACAAAAGTTCTAAACCAATCAAAGGTTTTTCCTAAAACTGTACATCCAAGCTAATAATTGTTTAGGAATTTTTAAGAGTAAAAAGTTGAATTCAATGTGTTAGAAACATAGTTTTAGACCTAGTTGGTCTTTTTCTCCTTGTATAAATCCGGTCCTAGGATTTGTAACCTGGGGCCTTAAATGCATTCTGGCTTTGACCTGCCATTGAGAGGGAGAGAGAGGCCTTTACCTGCATGCCTCAGTGTAGTTAACACTTCTACCCAGAGATGATAAAGGCATGTTTTGACAGGCATTGAGAGTTTGGGCACAGAAAATAGAGGACCGACTGTCCTGAAGTTCATTTTTCACACTAGTCACTATTGAGTAGAATAATAACAAAAGCGTTTTGTTTGAAGGGTGGTCTGACAGTGTTGATCCAACAGTCAGTGTTATCATAGTTATAAACAGGTTATTTATAGTGGATAAGTCGCATCATGCTGGTTTGACAGTGATCTCTGACTGAGTTCTCAGCCTGTAATGCTGGCCCATGATCAGTTATTGTGTCCTGACCAGAGTCATTTATACATCTATATACTCATGCAGTAAAGCCTAATTTGCAAGGCTGGGTACTGGTTGAATTGTTTTCAACGGCTAACTTAAATTTCACTAAAATGCTGATTTCTATTATGTATCTTCTTTACAAGAGACTTGTAATTTGTTAGTATGATAGAGCATAACATCTATATCTGTGCTTTTAAATATGGTGGCAGGATGACTCCCTCTGGTACAAGCTCTGACTGGGTGTTTTAGACGTTTGTCATTTTTATTTGTCGGTTTAAATAATCATCATCATCATCATCTTTAACTGCTTAATCCAGATAGAGTCATGGTAGCAGTTGGGAGAACAGAGAATTCCAGGCGACCCTGGCCCCCGCAACATCCTCCAGCTCATTCCGGGGGACCCCGAGCCGCTCCCAGGCCAACTTAGAGATATAATCCCTCCAGTGGATCCTAGGACCACCCCAGGGTCTCGTCCTAGTAGGCCATGCCTGGTAAACCCCTGTCCAGGGAGCATCCTGATCGAACACCCGAACCACCTCACCTGGCTCCTCTTAATGTGGAGGAGTAGCGACTCTACTCCGGGCTCCTCCCAGATAACCGAGCTCCTCACTCTGTCAAGTAGAATGTAGCCTGCCACCCTGCGAAGAAAACTAATTTCGGCTGCTTGTACTTGTGATCTCATTCTTTCGGTCATTGGCCACAGCTCATGACCATAAGTGAGGGCTGGGATGTAGACAGTAAGTGCATTATTGCTGCTGCCTGTCCCAGCTTGCGGCCGATCTCACGATCCCGCCTCCCATCACTCGTGAACAAGACCCCGAGATACTTAAACTCCTCCACCGGTGGCAGGTCCTTTCCCCTTACCTGGAGTGGACATGCCATCCTTTACCGGGCTAGGACCATGGACTTGGAGGTGCTGCTCCACATACCAACCGCTTCACACTCCGTTCCAGTGAGCTCTGGAGGCATCCATGCGATCCAGCCAAAAGGACAACATCATCCGCAAATAGCAGAGACGCCACTCTCCTTCCCTTCAGACCTCGGCTTCACCTTGATGAACAGGAGTGAAGACAAGGCACAAACTTGGTGGAGTCCAGCACTCACACTGAACGAGCTTGACGTAATGCCGAATATACAAACACAACTCTCACTCTGGTAGTACAGAGATTGAATGGCCTGGAGTAGCGGCCCCGGCACCCCACAGTCCCGAAGGACCTCCCACAGGATATCTTGGGGAACACCACCCCGGTCTGCCATTCCAAGGGTACTGTTCCCGAGGTCCATGCAACATTGCAGAGGCGTGTCAGCCACGACAGCCCCACAGCATCCAGAGCCTTAAGCATTTCCGGACGAATTTCATCCACCCCTGGTGCCTTGCCACTGAGGAACTTGCCAACTACCTCAGTGACCTCCACCAGGAAAATGGAGTCTGACATGCCAGAAACCTCTGGCCATGACACCTGTGAGGGAGGCATGTCTTTCGGGTTAAGGAGTTCCTCAAAGTGCTCCTTCCACCGACCAGCAATATTCTCATTTGAAGTCAGAGTTTCTCCACCCCCACTGAGTACAGCTTGGGTGAAGCCACCCCGACCACTCCTGAGTTGTCAGATGGTTGTCCAGAACCTCCTTGAAGCCAACCGAAAGTCTTGTTCTATGGCCTCGCCGAACTCCTCCCATGACCTGGATTTTGCTTCAGCCACTGTTTAAAGAGCAGCTTCACCCTAAGACCTTTTTTTCATTAACAGCTGAAATGCATTGCTTTGTGATAATAAAATGTACCAGACTTGCTTGAAATGTGAACACATCTTTCAAAACTGTAAAAATAACATTTTTTATCTTGGCCAGTTCCATCTCTGCAGCGTCCCTCTGGGTCAACTCTGCTATAGGCACGGATGTTGTGTCTTCGTACCAGAGTACGATGACATGTCACATTGTGCAAATTAGTCAACCAATTTGCATACTCAACTCGTGACGTCTGCTTGTTACTATGTCAGCATTTCGTCTGTACAGCTTTTCTTGAACTTATTTCTTTGTTTTATCGAATATGGAACTTGCTGAACAGATAATTAGATGGAAGCTGTTAGTGTTTAAGGGAGTGTTCTACCATTCTAATGTCTCTCCTGCTCACTGTTAATAATATTCTGGCACTACGTTAACTCTTCAGCGGTTTGAGTCAGTGACTCATACTATTAAGGCCCAAGACACATTATCTGATCAGAAACATTTCCCCCATCGAAGACAGGGATCGTAGTGGAGAACAATCTTCAGCCTTGGAAGACCTCTCGGGTGCAAAGGTACTATTTGATTCTGTCACTCTCCATATTTTCTGGTCGCTAACCTCAGTGCCCCTCCCAGTGGGCCCCTCCCATTTTTGAGCATTTTTTCAAAGATGAGCTAGGGATAGAGTTAGCTGAAAATAGTGAGTTGTAGTTACTCTTTAAATAATATCCAATAGGATTGTTACACATCAAAGAGGCTATTGTTAAGGGTGGAATACTGTAGTAATTGATTACAGCTGATTTAGCTGGATGACATGCGTATGCTAGGCAAACAGGCAAAGATGTTTCAGCTCTGTGGAGTCTAGGAGACAGTTCTGGTTGGACTTTAAGTCTCCATAGCCAACAGATGGGCAAACTTTCTTTAATAACTGTACGATGCAGCATCTCTTTTCTGGTGTATCAACTTTGGTGCAGTAATGTTTTCATAGAGGACGGCTTATGTTTGGTGAACAGTACAGTAAATGGCCCTTCTGTTGTTCTCATTGCAGTTGTGTTCCCGTGAGAGCTTCAACCTATGTCTGCCACTGAAATATGTTGTTTGCATTCTGTATTTGTGTTTTGTTCGAATTTTAATCATGCTGAGTGGTGTGATGGATGTCAGTTTTAATTATACACTTACACCAGAATGGTAGGGGAAAACCTGCAGAAAGTGACGAACTACAAAAAAATCTCCAGTATTCCCACTCAGAGATGACTCAGAGCTCCCATACAGGCTTAATGAGTTCTGTGTCTACTGCTTTAATAATTTACATACCTCACTCCCCCCTCTGCCCCTGACTCTTCTCCTCTCGCCCACTGTCATGGAAAAAGAGGTGTGAACTGCCTTCAAAAAACTAAATAAGAAGAAAGTTGCAGGTCCTGCTGTGTTCAGCAATTGTGCCTCTCAGCTGGCAGCAGCATATACTGCTGTTTTCAACAGCTCCTGTGCTCTTTGTAAAGTGCTGCAATGCTTTAAAGTGACTAAACCAAGGTATCAATAGTTTCAGACCTATTGACCTAACTTGAGTGGTTATTAAGGTGTTACCTTGGGCTACCTTCTCTAATATATCCGTTAGACTACTCGGCTAACTGGTCT